AAATTCTTCTGGGAAAAATCCTAAGAAAGGGGATGCTTAGATTCACTGGAATTAAAAGGCACATTTTCTGCAGCTACATTGGGTGTGTATGTGGATATGTATGTTAACTGACATTTCATCCAAAGGCAGAGAATGTGTCTGACAGACAAGTCATAGAATCATAGAATCATAGAATATCCTGAGTTGGAAGGGACCCTTAAGGATCATCAAGTCCAACTCTTGTCATGATAGAGTCATGATAGAGCTATGGGAAAAGCAGCTTAAGAACAATGGATTACTGTAGTTTCATTTTTATATATGTCATTTTGTAGCATTTTTGGGAAGAAAAGCTGTCTCTATTAAACAAAAACTAAAAAATATAATTGCTGGAAGACGTTCATATACATTTGCCCCTTGTCCAAACTTCATTAATCTCCTTGAATGCAAGAGTTGACTAATTCAATGGGCTTGTAGCCAAGCTCTTAAAAAATAAGACTTAAAAGTAAATATTGATGATTGTTGCAAGGGTCCTTCCTATGCTTGTTCTCTCATATAATTCTGGTCTTAATAACAACAACAAAAGTTTTTTATATGAGGTGATCTCAGAGAATGCACCTTTTTTTATGCCTGGCTAAAGTGACTAAAGTGTAAATTTCTTCTTTGCAAGGAAAATGCTAGTTCTGTCATGGCTGCAAGTAGGCATGTGCTTATATGCATTTGCAGCGTGCTGCAGGATTGAAGGAGCTAGCTTTTTTTTTTTTTTCTAGAAAAGAACAAACCTGCAATCTGTATGCATTACATTGTTGTTTAACCTGCAAATGGTATGGGTGTATGAAATAGCCTTGCAAAGTCAGCGGGATTGCCATCGGGGACCAAAAAAAGCTTCAACTTTCAGTCCTCCAAATTTGTCCCTTCCATATGCTGGATATATATTTCACAGGTTAAGAACCCTCAAGACCCACAGAAAACAATGACAACGAGCCTTTTGATGGTGTGGGATCAGACCCTTGAGGGGAGCTGAAAATCATCAGCCCCTTGTGATTCTAAACTCTTAGCAAGCAGTGGAGATGGAAAAAAAATAGCTAAAACCAGAGCTCACTTGAACCCCTGTTGTCTGAAGTCTCTTTGTGAATGTTAGAAAAGAAAATCTGCTTTGAATATGTTCTCCCTACTTCAGTTGTCTAAAAAAAAAGTCAGGGTCAAAGAAAGGGCACAGTAAATTCTGAATATCTGAAGATGTGAAGCTGATGTATATCCACTAAATGCTAACATAATTAAGACATGACATCATCTTTCAAGCATTATGGGTGCTGTATCTTGTATTGTAAATCCTTATCTAGCTTATAATGGTCTGCAGAGGGCTTAGTTATTTTTTCTCTCTGCACCTCAGATATGTGTATTAAAAATTATAAAAATAAAATTGACTTCATAATTGTTTTTTTATGGACATTATTTGTTTGACCATCAACATTTAATAAATATATTTTTCCCCAAAGTACAGCTTATAAGATGTGCAATGGAGAGTTGACATACAGCAGTGGATGCATGTGAGTGTATATGAAATCAATGTTATTCTGAAATTTAAAATCTTTGTAAATATGCTGCATTTTTACATGAAACAGAATATTTCTTGTACTAACGTCAAAGGGGAACTTGCTGTTGTCTTCACTTAGAAAAGGAACACACATATTAGCACCTTAGCATCTTTCTGCTGTAGTTACCTTTTTGTTCATTTAAGAAGTTTCAATGAAAGAATGGACCAGAATCTGTAGAACTTTCTTCTATATAAAAACCTTTATTCTCATGAATCATTCCACTGGGGTCATTGCATAAAGAGGAGTTTCAAGACAGAGCCTGTTTTTCTCAGCTACATGAATTCTGGCTTTATCAAGCTCACATGTGGTGCTGCTGAGGCGATGAAAAAGTGGCTGAGAAGATGAGGAGGGTGGAGACCTTTCAGTTTCCCACAGCAAAGAATTTCTAGGGACAGAGAGTACAGAAAATGCACATGAAAAGCCAGACCTTACTCTGCACATAGATCTCCTCAGGTCTTGGTTGCTCCAAGTCTACTGGCAATGCCCTCTATATTGTGAGGATAGGGTGTGTCAGAAAACTCCTGAAAATATTGCCAATAGATCCTGTGCCATGTGGACACTTGCCCACTGCCAACATCCCTGCTTTGAAACAAAGCCTGGGTTTCTTTGCAATTGTGTGAAGGAGAAGGGTGGTGTTGGCTTATAGGTAGGAGTTCACCATCCAAAGCATGCTGCCAACTTACTTTGGCCATCGAGGAGTTAAGCTTCAGCTCCTAAATTTGGCCCCTGTTTATAGACAACAAAGCCTCTCTAGAGGGGATTCATTGCATCCTATCATGGAGTTTGGAAATGGCTCTCTAATAGCAGTAAAGGGGTCTAGATAGCTGGCTGAGGCCTAACCCTGATGAGGCTGAATTTAGGCGAGACAAGCTGCACTCAGAGTCAAACCCTCAGCATTAGCATCACCACCAACCAAGAATCTGTCTGTGAACATCTCAGGCTCCCTTCAGTGAGATTTTTCTACTGCTTCACACCATGAGTACTCACACAAAGCAGGTCAAGCCCACTGGGTAAGAGCAGCATTACTACCCGAGTATTATCTGCGTAACAGAAGACAGCAGAGATCTGTTAACCTTTTGCTTTGGTAAGAATTAAGAAAGAGGGTAACAAGAATTTTCCATCACTAAGGACGTATCAGGCAGCATTAGCAATGGATAATTTGAGGGGTTAAGAAGTCTGCCCTGCAGGGTTTTTTTTTTTTAAGTTAATCTTTTATAAAGATTGAAAGTTTCACAGGCACAAAGTTTGCCTTTGAGAGCTTTAGTTCTTTTAGCCTTTGCTCTTGATACTTGCCAAAGGACAAACAAAATGTGAATTTGCATCATGCCTCAACATGTGTTTCACATATTTTACATGTGGCGTCTAAATGGCTCCTGTGACCTTAGTGTGTGGATCACACGTTTTTCACATATGCTTTCTGTGGTTCACATCTGCTTGAAACATTGTTTCTGACAGTAGAAATCATTATTGTTTTACAGCAGGCTCTAATAATTTAATTCAAGCAGCAGAACTTGAGAAGACGCAGAGTGTTTTCGGTTTTGGTTTAGATTTTGTGTTGAGTGCTACCCATTATAATTGCATACCAGAGGAGAGATTCACAGCCCAGGCCAGAGTTTTCAATTAAGGCGATCAAGAATTTTTTTTGTCAAATGCTTTTTTGTCAAATGCTTTTTTTTTTTTTTTTTTTTTTTTTTTTTTTTCTTTTTCTGCAAATATAAATATGCTGGCTTGTCAGAGTTGTCACTTTTACAGAAAGGTGCCTGATCCAGGCAGAAGGGTGGATCTGAAGGGTTTTTCTGGGTCTCTGGTTGAATTTCTCCTCAAAGCTAGAAAGTCGGTAGTCTGCAGGCAGGTACTCACAGAGGATTTGGGAAATCTGGGCTTAATTTTTTATTCTGTAAGATTTAGAGCACAGCTTGAACACAGCTCTTCCATTAACCCTTGTGAGTGCCCTAATGTTGTGGGCTATCCAGATAGTTTTTCTCTGCCTCGGTAATTTATTTCTACAAACTGGAAAATGTCCTACAGAAGGAATTTAAAAATGGCAGAGTTTCTGGCTGAGTCTGTAGCTTGATTATTATGACAAGGATGTAGGAGACTCTTGTCAAAGTCCTCGATGAGCTGCATGTTTGATTATTAATACAAAGCAGACTTTCTCCAGTGGAATAGATTGAAAACAATCCATTCTGCCACCTGATGGACAGGTCCCTTACCAGGCCTATCACATATGTGCATAGTAGTGCTTAGTCTGAATGAAACTGAAAGAGTATTTGAAACTTGTTTTTTTATGCACCACTTCCGAATAGCTGCAAAATGAACAACTGTGTCTGCAGTGACAATACAAAAATCATTGTCAAAGGGGGACCCACCTTTCTGGGTGACTACTGCAAGCCTTACAACACCTCAAGAAGCACAGTCAGAGTGCTGGCCCAGAGCATGAAGGAGCGTGTTCACCTGGCAACATACAACGCTGCTCAGCTTGCTTACACCAGCCAGTCACAGGCAGCGTGTCAGGCAAGTGCATCTGGACAAGTCCACAACTGCTGCATACATCACCAGTTTCTAAATTTTACCAGAACTACACTATGGTGAAAATTATGATGAGAACAGAAACCATTTCTAGGATCTAAAACACACTGGATGGATATATTAATTTATTCGTTTTGTCAGTTCCCCGTGACAGAAAGGTCTGTCCTGATGCATTCATTGATCCAGCTTTTCTCCACTTATTTGCTAAACCTTCAGGTACTGAGGATATAAAACTATACCAGAAGCAGGTGAACTGAGGACATCCAGACACTGTGGAGATGGTTGAATTTATCTGTAGTTCTGGCCTCCACAAACTGAGCTATACGTGTCAGCTACTGAATTTATTCTCCCTGCTCTGTTCCATCTATTTCTCCATGCAGTTCTTCAAGGAGTTCACACAAACACCCATCTCCTTGCTTGTTATAAGTAGCTTGCTTTAAATTACTTGCAAGGTATTTTCAACCTCATGGAATTCTCACTACAGGTGACAAAAGATTTTTTGTTTTTAAATTGCATATTTAACTGGTAAAAGTTGCCCACTGAAGTACTGATTCACAGAAATAAGACACTGCAGCCTGTATTGCTGTGCTGCAATTTCAGACCCACAGATGACTGACCTGTTCCAGGACTGCCTTGTTCCACCATATTTGCAAACAAACAGGAGCAATGAGATTATTGTACTTATAAAAAGGGGCCTGGAAATGAATTCAGAGGTGGTCATGCTGAACTTGTATATTGCCTGAAGGAACAGGACACTGGGTAGGGTCTGAATAACCCTTCAGACTGAGAGTTAGTTCGTATTTAGAAGTCAGAAATTGAGCTTTCTATTTAGTAGCACTTCAGTGCTCTGATATTTTCTGCTAATGACACTGCAAATGTTTTTATTCTGTTTTTCAGTGAGGACACAAGTGACACAGAAAGGTAAAGTTGTGAGGTCAAGGTAACAGAAGGTGAGTTTATCCTTGGCAGGGCAGAATGCAGTATATGGATGCTATTTCTAACTGTATCCTCTTTGCAACCCATGCTATGAAACAGATCTCAGTTACTTTAGTATCCTGGTGTTTCAGATTTTCACCTAGCTGTTTATTAGATAGCCTTCTAAGTGAATACCTCTTATTTATGCATTGGTTTTCGCTTTCTTCTTCCAAAACAACCATACCCTTCCCTGTGAGGGCAGAGGGTCCTAAATACAACGGTTCAGCTAGTTGGGGAGGGCAGTGGCATGTAAAGAAAGGTCATGAAGGGGGATCCCTGCTGCTCATTCACCATTCTTGATGGCATATGTCGCCAGAGCAGATTTATAGGGGTTGTAAGAAAGGGCTGTGTTTGACAAAGGGACAGGGTCAAGGAAAAAATTATTAGATACCCATTCCCCAGGAGGGAGCTGCTGTTGTATCACACAAGCTGCAGTGACACATTTAAGTCTGGGGGAGGGAGAGTGTTTTGCATCACTCAGTGCACCGTATATCCCCTGCACATGGCCTGTTTACTCAAGCTTTTCACAGGCATGCAGGCTTTGGCTCACAAAGAATGAGCTTAAGCCAGAGACAGGACCCCTGAAAACAAAACATTGAGTATAAGAAGCTATGATTCTCCTTTCCTCTTCTTGATGTATACATGCAAAGCTCATTAATGCTAATGATAGTCTAGGAACAAATGAGCCATGTTGTACAGCGGCTACTTTATCCCATAGGCAGAGCAGGAATGTGGCACCACTCACCCAACAAGTTACCTAACACAGAGTTGGCCTCATGTTGAAAGAGATTTGAAGCTGTAGGCAGTTAAATACATAGCCTGCCCCTTAGGACTGCCACCGTAAATAAGCATTTTAAAAGAATCTCAGCCTTTAATGAAGAACAGAGGGAATTTTCAATCAGTAATCAGAAACAGCTCTCAAAATCAGGGGTAGTGGAGTGGTATGCATATTTTTATTTGGTGCACAGAAAATGCATTGTTTCTGAGCTATTTCTATAAGTAGACTCACTGTACTGTTAAAACCTTAGTGGATCCTGCAGTGTTTGTGATTCTCTGAGTATTAAAGGAATTAGAGAAAGCCTTCTAAAGTAGTTAGAGGCACCACAGTGAGAAATGATTACCCACTTTAAACCAGCCATGTACAATTAAAAAGAAAAAAAAATAAATGAAACGGAGAATAGATGCACATAAAAAGACTAAATCCAAAGAAAGGAAAAATAATTTAAAATATCTATCTGCTATAATCATTCCAGGCACACTGTGAGACTACATGTGCTGTAAAGGAAGACAGAGAAGTAAAAAGACACTTATCTAATCGTCTGCAAATTATAGTAAGAACTACATTAATGAGACCTAAGGATATATCCCTGTTAATGAGTCATCAGGATTCTCAGGAGTAAATGAAATTCCATGCTTGTGTAGTAAAATGTACTTAGGTCAGACCGGAAAGACATTATTCGTCAGAGAAGATATAAAAAAAAAATATTGCTAATAGTCAAAGCTATAATCAGTGAAGCTCATGTACTGAAATGCTAAAGTAGCCATAAACATTTTAAATAAAATGTCTAGTCCTACACAATATGGCATAGATACAAATATATATAAAACAAAATAAGCTCAAGCCCAAACCTACAATACTGAGGAAATGAGAAATCTCTTTTATATTAAGAAAAATAAATATGAGGTGATATAGAGAACTGTGATAAAAATGCACGTGCTTTAAGGTTACACACTATCAGTTTTCTTAGCATCTCCACATCTTTTGCAATTCTGCTGCCTATCCTTCAGCCTTGTGTCAAGGCTATTTTTTCTGTGGACTCAGGGTTTTGGAGAATTCATGTACTGTCAACAGGCACAATGGTCAAACTGTTGCAAAGAAATCTATAAAAGAGGTGTTGCCTCTATCTTGTCACCATTTTGTACCTTTGGTAAAACTTTTGGTAAGAGTTGAGATTTTGATTTAACGGCCAAACTGTGATGCTAAAACCTGAAATATACATAAAACAGAAATGAACTTTCTGTTTCTTGGCACTATTAAGAAAAGACAAAGAAGAAAATGGTGAAAATAACAGAAGTATTGTCTATTTGAACACCTTTCCTAGCTTACGTGCATTTACTGCAGGCATCAGTAACAATTCTGATTTATGTAGGATGGAGTAGCACCAACAAATAATATGGAAAATAACCTTCCTCAAGCACTTGTATGCCTGATTGGAGAAAGCTTCATCATGAGAAAGCAGCAGATAGTGTATTTTCAAGTCCCCAGAAGCAGATTAGAGCTTTGAATATGGCTACAGATTAAGTCACTAGAGTAGGGGAGACAAAAAATAAAGGAGGGTGGGGGTGGGGGTGGGGAGACACCAAATGGAGAAGAGAATTAATGATTGCAAATGATTGCTTTCCTTTAGTCATTAAACCTGTCCAGAAATTGTGTCCTTGAAATTTCACAGTAAATGATTTTGGAAAAATTATAAATGATTGATTACTGAAATGTTTTGTCAGTATTGTCCCATCTGAAACTAGTCCTTGATTCTAAGCAGAATTCATAAACCGTTCTGGTTGCTATAAAGATGAATCTTTAAGCAAATGAATAATTTACACAAAAAAGTCTCCCACCCCCAATCTTAGTTCACGTATTTTGAGGGTATGTTTTGACTGTGGGGTCTTTCATTAGATTTTTTTTTGTCGTTTATAGGGACAGAATTTATTGTATCATCGAAGAATTTTCCATCAGTCTTTAATATATCCTTCTTACATGAAGTCTGGCAAAACTGAAGACATGTAAAGCAATGGAAATGTTCCTGCCACTAAGAAATCTGGACATGGCCAGGAATGTGCAGTGATGAAGTGTCTTAGAACTCTTCAGTTTCTTCAGCCAAGGGTAATCTCACTAAAAGTTACACATACATGAAAAGAAAAAGATGTCATCAAATCACTTCCTTACAGTGATCAACAGTGTTGTGGAGTGGGGCCTGTTCCAAAGAATCTACATATCTTTCTTTGCTTCAGCTCAAATGACTTTCTTCTCACTCGCCTCGTTTGACTGTATCTTATTTCCAATTCTTTCTGTGGCAGTTTGTTCTGTTTCTCATCATCTCATGTATTCATCAGTGTCCTTTGGCCCTGATCCCAAAGCCAAGCCTTTTACCCTTCTTCATCTTTTTCAGAACAATTCATTTTAAGTCAAAGGAAATCAGGGCGTAACTGTTAAAAAACACACTTTAAAACCTGAGAAAATGGGTCAGTTTATGTACTAAATGTTCTTGGGCATATTGTTAATTTGAACTACTTTTAGAAGGGTCTTTCGACAACATAAATCCCATGTGATGTGGCAGCTGTTATGTTAACTAGTATGTTTCCATAAAAGCATACAATGTGGTTGTGTAATCCCAAATGTAAATTCATTTGTTCAAGTTAAGTCTGCCAAGACACCTCATTTTTTTCAGCTTTTTAATTGCTCCATAAGTCTGTGCCTTTTGTGCTTGAAAGGATAACACAGCTTTTTTTTTTCTTTCTTTTTTTCTTTTTTTTCCCTAATCCATTGATTTTGCTCTTATTTTGAAGTAGATACCTACCAGCTATAGCTGCACTCAGGTATGCTTCCTGTGGGATATTGCAGAAGCTGAGGTATACACCTGAGATCTGCCTTTACTAGACTTTCACATCTCAAATGATTTGATTTAGGCATTATTACTAGTGCTGTCTGGTGCCTAACCAACAAACAACGCAAACAAATGGCAATGGGCAGTAAATGAAAAAAATTCCAACCTCCAATTTTTCAAATTATTGTCTAATGGAAACAAAGACTGAAAGACTCAATAGGTTTGTGTTTTGAAATATTTTTCTCCTGACAATACTAATAATATTTTTAGTGGCATGAATAATGTTAATTTTTTTTTGTTGATTGTTTGTTGCCTCCAGACTTCTCTTGACATGAAATCAACAAGCCATTTCAGAAGTGGAGTGGACTGAGTAGTTACTCACAGACTCACCTCGATGCAAATGCAGCAAACCCTTTTAGCAGTGGAGTGCATTGAGTACTTAGTCAGTTTTAGAGATGTCTCTGAATGCACTGTGTAAGTATTAGTGTAAACTACTAAAGATTATGTAAGGCAATTCATTCTGTGAAGTTCTTGAATGGAAAATATTTAACAAAGGGAGTTATTTTTTTCTGATTTTATTATTATTATTTCTTTATTCTCTTATGTACAAAATTTGTTATCAGAATTAAAAGGAAAATGTTATTGCAAATACTGGTCCTTTACTGTAGATTTTTAAAAATAAGAAGGAGGTCACAAAATTATGAGGTCATAAACATGAAGGTCATAAGACACAGTTCTGTCTTCTGTGACCAATTCCCAGAGAAGTCAGTGCCACACTGCTTACAGAAAGACACTCTGTGTGTCTTTAGCCTCTGCTGGATCATCAACGGTATCTAAGCAGGTTTCTGTCACCAACCTAGAAGAATTAGCCAAAGTAACTGATATATAGGCTCCAGATGTAATACTCCAGGCTTAGTTTGGTCAGAAAAGTTAACTGTATTTGTTGGGCCTAAGAAGGAAGTCAACTTCTGTGGACTGTGGAGAGTGGAGAGAGAAACCAGCAGGATATTAGTCTGGATTATGTGAAATTCTTTATCAGCCTCTCTTTCCACTTAACCTTTTAGAACAAATGGTACAGATTTGAGCTTTTAGAGAGAGAATTGCAAAGTCTTCCTTATCAGTGAGCAAGAGTGGGATGGGGGATGTTCCATAAAACAAAGTAATATGTAAAAGTGATGCATATACAACACTTAAGAGCAGAAATGCAATAACAACTTTTTTGTATGTTCGTGTATGTTCACAACAGGAAACTATTATATCCTACATGGAGTTTCTAATTCGTAGCTACAACAAAGATTTTGTTGTTGTTGTTGTAGAAGAATGTTTGCAAGAACATTTTAGATAAGACTTGTAGTTCATCTAGTATAACTTTCTGCCTGACAGGAACCCTAGATGCCTCTGAGGAAAGTGAAAACAGTTACTATTAGGTAAAATGTCTAGCATATAGACTTTTTTTGAAGTCATTAGGTGTTTAATTTTGTGTCTTTTCATGATTTTTTAAAACTTAATCTTTATTATAACTATAGATCTTCTTATCCATATAAATTCAACCGCTCTTTAAATTTTGCTGCAATCTTGGGCTAGGTAACATCTTATGTACACTGTGTAGAAAAGATTCTTGCTGTCTCAGATTTGAATCTGCTGCCTTTCTGTATTCCTGAATGTACCATTTTTCTTGTGCTAAGAGAAAGAGACAATAGAAATTCTCAGTATATTCTGTCTGTATTATTCATTCACTACTTTACAGACCTTTGCTTTGTCCATTCTTATTTGTCTTTTTGCTGAAGTTACAATCTTCATAATTTTTATTCAGATTAGAGATTTCAAGAAGCAATATTTGAAAATCAAAATGGAATCAGGAAATTTACAATACCTGCTTTTATTTTATTTATTTATTTATTTTTAAATGGACATCAAGTTGATTAGGAAACAGGTGAATCACAAAACTGATTTCATTTCTTCCTAAATGTTTCATATCTGTGTGGCTAGAGATAGTAGATGGCTCTGCAAAAAATAAATCCTTAACAGCTCAGAAGTTTTACAGATGCTATAGGAAAATAGAACACATTTTTGCTTCATTGAATTACTGTTATCCCCAATTATTTTAGTTGCCTTTAATAAAGAGCATAAATAATATGAAAAAGAAAACATTTATGATTCCTAATTTAACTCTTATCTGTTTCAGTTCTTCTTGTAAAACAGAATTTCATGTTCATTGTTGACAATGTAATTTTATCACAAGGAAATTTCATGCCCTAGCCAGCCCTGATGTGAACTACTTTAACTGACATGAATGAATAAGGGATACTGATTTATTCTCTATAGCCTTCTACAGAGAAATAAACCATTATCTATATATTATAAACAGCTCAACAGCATCTTTCATTTAATCTAAAACTTTTCGGTCACAATGCCAGCTTTTAGATTCGATTTGAATTTTCTGCAGTACCCAGTGGTACAGTGGGCAGAGTGCCAGGCAGGAATAGGAAAACTAAGATGAAATTCCTTCTAAAAAACTTACTAAGCATTCAATCAGAACACCATAGGCAAGTCATCAAGACACAGCTATTCCATTTCACTCAGTTCCTGTTGCTGATAGATATAGATACACTGTGAAGGAATAGGAAATGAGAATGAACCTTTCAGTGTAATATCATTTGCCACTGCTTAACAGAGATATTAGACACTGGGGGTGTCCCAGAGAGAGGCTTTTACAACACCTATTGTATTTTTCTTCCGTGGGTGATTTTAGTAAGTTTCTATGAAAAGACTTAGGTCAAATTTACCAGAATAATTCAGATGGATATATACTGCCTGTCATGTACAGGTGAGCAGGTGGGAGTGCTTGAGATGTTCTCCAGCTTGTTGTTTTGACTTTGTATAAGTGTCAAATCTCTGAACAGCACATTTGCTTTGCACTATTTTCTATCTAATGACCATGTGTGGAAGCAAATATGGGCAACATGGGAGATACAACAGTTTGCTGTTTTGTGTGAAAGCTTTGTTAAATTTTTGTCTCACAAGAGAGGTGAGCAATGTATTTTCAAAGCAGAAATCACTTTTCAGGTGGTTTGTGGGATTAGGGATGAGTATGTTCAAACTTAACAGTCGTTACAGATGTGTACACAGCAGTCATCACCAGCTAAACTAACTCTTCATAGCGCCATGCACTCCAAATAAAACCAAGTGCTGCTTTAATGTCATATTTGCAAACCTGCTTTTTAGTGATTAAGTCTATACAATAAGATGCGTGGATTTAAGAATATAACTTATCAACCAGACAATGAAAATCCACTGCACCATTGGCCATTTTGACCTATTAGAGCGGACAGAGCTTGAAGATACACCATGAGGCAAGAAATAAGGAAAAAGACAAGGAAAGGTGTGTGTACCTATAGTCAGCTCTGCTCATCTCTCACAAGATTCACTATAACATAATCTTTGAAAAAAAATGGAACAAAAATATACAATAAACTGTATTAAGCATATGGGTAGAAATCATACCAACATTCATTTATTTGTTATGTATCACAACCGAGGCAGGTCACTAATGAATGTCTGTTTAGATATTTCTTGATTTGTACAATAACTACTCATAAACAGTTATCAATGCAGAAGTGCTACTTCTTCGTTTTAAAAAGTCCGGTTTTGTCCATGTAGAAATGGTTTATTCTTGAAAAATGAAACATAAAGTAGAGTTTTAAAAAGACACTCAACTGGAACACTCTTCATGAATAACACTGGGTAAATGCTACAGAAAAAAAAAAAAAAAAAGAAAAAAAAAAGAAAAAAGAAAAGGTAAATAGTAGATTTTTTTCCCTCTAATTAAATGAAATGAAGCCCCACCAAACCCCTAGATTTATTCACTGTCAGGGAACTCTTATGTAAGAAGAAGAGCTTTAACATCAGTAACCATAGCATAATATTCATACAGATGTCTGGAAAGAAAGCGCAACTTCAAGAAAAGTTTACTCTGTTTATTTCTCACATTTCGTCAATGCAGAGCAGAAGAAAACTTTTGTGGCCTGCACTAAAAGTGGTTGAGTGTGAAACACAATTACATTTATAAATACACAGTTACATTAATATAAACATTTATTGCATAATATTCTTTCCATCTTCATTAATTCGTATTTGCATTGAGTATGCTCTGGAATTTGGTGTTAATTAGCCACTGATCAGAAGTCTTTATTGTTAATCCATTTTATTGTTTGCAGATTTTATTTTCTGATATTTGATTGCAAGAGACAATAGCTTGATCTCAAAATATCTTTTTCATTTATTTAGATCTTGTGTTTTCTTTGTCCATCATGTAACCTTGGGTGGGTCCAGTTACATATGCTCGTCTGGAAATCATCTGCACAAGACCTATAGCTGAGGAGGGATTTAGGGAAATTGTTAGGTGTTGTTCTTGCCTTCTTGCCGACATTTGATTATTCCAAGATGATCTTTAGGAATGCTGCCACTATAACTACCAGCATCATTGTAAGGTTGTCTAGGAAACCTTTCTGTCTGGAGATCTGTTGATTAAAGGACTTCTGCATTATTTTTGCTGTTGATTCATAGAGTGGATAATTGGATTTTGGTTTCTTTAGTGGAAGCTTTTTGCAATTGTTATTGGCCAGTACAACTCTAAGGGCCTTGTCTTTAAAGGCAGTTAAAGCAAAAGATCACCTCTCCCAATGAGAAAAGTGTAGTGAGGTAAAAGCAAGCTTGCAAATCTGAAATTATTCCCTTGTAATCGCTGCTTTTTTTTTTTTTTTTTTTTTTTTTTTTTCTGTCTTGTCATTTTATTAGAGAATTAGGAAGTCAAAGATGACCAGTAGAAAATGATATCCTGAATTATGCTTTGGTGAGTGGTGTCCCACATGTGTCCATCTTGGGACTAATGCTGTTTAATATTTTTATCAATGACATAGACAGTGGGATAGAGTGCACCCTCAGCAAGTTTACGTATGACAGGTTTGCTGAGTGGTGCAGTCAAAACAACAGGAGGAAGGGGTGCTGTCTAAAGGGACCTGGACAAGCTTGAAAAGTGGGCCCACATGAACTTAATGAGGTTCAATAAGTCTAAGTGCAGGGTGATGCACCTGAGCTAGGGCAATCCCAGACAGGAGTACAGATTGGGTGAAGAACTTATTGAGCACAGCCCTGCAGAGAAGGACTTGGGAGTTCTGATGGATGAAAAGGTCAACATGAGCCAGGAGTGTGCACTTGCAGCCCAGGCCAATTGCATCCTGGGCTGCATTAGAAGAGGAGTGGCCAACAGGTCAAGGGAGGTGATTGTACCCCTCTACTCTGTCCTTTTGAGGCCCCACTTGGAGTACTGCATCCAGGTCTGGAGCCCCCAGCACAAGAAGGATGTGGGGCTGTTAGAGTGGGTCCAGAGGAGGGCCACAAAGATGATCAAGGGGCTGGAGCACCTTTCCTATGAAGAAAGGCTGAGAAAGCTGGGATTTTCATTGTGGAGAAGGCTATGGGGTGACCTCATTGCAACCTTTCAGTACTCGAAGGAGACTTATAAAAAAGATGGAGACTGACTCTTTGCTCAGTCTGATATTGACAGAATGAGGGGGAATGGTTTTTAACTGAAAGAGGCTAGATTAGAGGTAGATTAGAGGTTAGGAAAATCTTCACTCAGAAGGTGGTGAGGCACAGGCACATGTTGCTCAGAGAGGCTTGTGGATGGCCCATCCCTAGAGGTGTTCAAGACCAGGTTAGATGAGGCCCTGGAGCATCCCAATCTAGTGGGTGGTGTCCCTGCCAATGGCAGGGGGGGTTAAAACTAGGTGATTGTTGAGGTCCCTTCCAACCCAAGCCATTCTATGATTCTATGATATGATTCTATGATCAGCCTGAAGAGAAGGCTTCAGGAAGACCTTGTTGCAGCCTTTTAGTATTTAAAGGTAGCTGATAAAAAAAGATGGAGAGTGACCTTTTACATGGGCAAGTAGTGATAGGAAAGCGGGAATGGTTTTAAATTAAAAGAGGGGAGATTTACATTAGATGTTGGGAGGAAATTCTTCACTCAAAGGGTGGTGAAACACTGGAATAAGATGCCCAGAGAAGTTGTGGATGCCCCATCCCTGGAAGTATTTAGGCCAGGTTGGATGGGTCTTTGGGCAACCTGATCTAGTGGGTGGCATCCCTGCCCATGTCAGGGGATTGGAACTGGATAGATAATATCTTTAGATAATGTTTAAGGTCCTTTCCACCCAAGCCATTTTATGATTCTATGACATGATTATGTACTAACTGGTGTGGAAGACTATTTGGTTATTACTTGAGGTTTCTGTGCATGTCAGTGCAGAGTAGCTTGGAGGGATTAGCTAAAGTACAACCAGTCTTCTGGAGTCAGCTGGCCTGCTGCAGTGATGCAAACTCAGTGGAAACCTCAGTGGTGTGAGGGAGGAAGTGCTTGGTTGTCTGTCTAGGAATCTTGCATTTTACAGTGTGAGTGACTTTACCAGCTAGTGTGTTTGTTATTTTTTAGAAAAACAAAAACACACATGAAAACAACTATATCCTGCTCTAAGGTCCAGTAAAAGCAGTGTTATCATTGTCAGCGTCAACCCACAGGCCTTCTACTAAATCTACCTTATTCTAACTATGGAAGACCCTATTAGGCTTTGTTATCAACTTCTATGAGAACATGCTGGTGTGAACTAGAGCTTGGTGCCAGGTGTCTCTTGGTGTTGAAGTGTGGATAACAGTGAAGGCCTTGAGAAAATGGTTGCAGATTTTATAAAGAGGCCTGAAGCTATAAACACACCTCACTGAGCGCTAGCTACTGTCTGCTGGAGAAGCGCAGTCTTGGTAGATGGGAAAAACTGGGAAGCTTGATGGAGAAAAAAGAAATAGCTAAACAAGAAAATAGCAGCTTGGCTGCAGAGCAGGGCCTCTGCTCCCTGCCTTGAGCTCTCCCTAGTTCATCGAAGACCCTGCTAACTCCCAGCCCACTCCTCTGCTTCCCCAGTGCTTCATCCTTAACCCCAGATCTTTAGTAGACATTCTGGCTAATCACTCATTGCCACTGTGAGCAGTGTGACTGGATGATGTGTGTGGCTCTGCGTCTGAGCATGTGCTTTTTTCCCTCCACATTGTGCACTTTTCTCCTTTTTAATGCCCTAGCTCTTCAATAAAGACCTTCTGCACATAAACTCAATTTGACTAGTTATTATTTTTTGCAAAAGTCTATATGAGAAGAAAATAAGAATAAGTTGGCTTATCTTCAATTCTTCTAGTGGGAAATTCTTTGCTGAAACTTTAGGAACTGATCCTGTCAGCTATTCAAAGCTTTTTCTGATTTTCTGAGATGCCTCTCACCTGTATTATATTCACTGGATATTAAATCAGTCAGGTCCTTTGTTATCACTGGATATTAAATCAGGTCCTTTGTTATCAAAAAGTCATATGGAATAGAAATCATCAGATTCAAAACTTTCCTTAGCAACTGCTGGGGAGATCATTACAGTAACA